TTCTTTCTTTCGGTCCGTCCGTCCTTCCTTCCTTCCGTCCTTCCTTCCGTCCTTCCTTCCATCCATCCGTCCGTCCGTCCATCCGTCCGTCCGTCCGTCCCTCCCTCCCTCCCTCCCTTCCTTCCTTCCTTCCTTCTGTCTCTGTCTCTCTCTCTCTCTCTCTGTGTCTGAGCGTGAGAGGAGTTCGTGCACCTGTGGCAAAGGACCACCAGCGTCCAAGCTGCACAGTACACCTCGACTGCATCCAGTTTATAGTTTCAAGTTTGTTTGCGATCACTGAAAGCCAGCATCTTGCCACTCCAAGGCGCTCTTCAAATAGCCACTCGCTTCTTGCCCCTCTTGGTGGAGCTGAGCAAGTGTTGCGGCTGCTATGAGCCGCGCTCCTACACCTTTGCAGGCACTACATTGCATAGAGTCCCGTTTCCTAGAGCTTGGATACACAAGGCTGTCAAGATGCGGGGTGCCAGTGTTCGTGCCATCGCTCGGAAGACATCCTTCTCAGAAGCAAACAGAGACATCCGCAAAGAATCCGCTAGAAACTGCAATCAACAACAGTAGCACCATGCATCCTCTGCACTTCGAAGGAGCACTGCTGGGTGAGGCCCTGGAATAATCCGCTCTACGGACTCCTTAAGACAGTCGAGTTGCAAATTCTGGTGATCTTTTCCTTTGGATGCCTTCAGTGAGGGGAGGTTCATATAGGTGCAATATGGTGCAACCGTTGTATGACGTAGCGGCTACACTGCTACACGTACTACGATAGTAAGTGATGATGACTGACAGCTGATTGCAGGATGGAACGCAATGCAAAAAATGTGCTCTCAGGCACTGGCCATCTCCACGGTTTTGGGAGCGCCACCAGGTCCAACACCTGCCAATCGCTCCAACTCATCCACGAGGAACTGCTGATCCTTGGGTCACAAACGAGCATGCAACAAATGACCTGACTTCGCACAGCTCATGAAAACTCCAACAAATAGAGTCCCACCCTGCCCAGCCATGCCCCACCTCACGGTTACAGCGTTTCAGGGACTCCTCCAGCTGGCACCGCGCTTCGTCTAAGCTGGTATGGCGAGTGGCAAGGCCTTATCTTCACAAACCGGGTTTCACCTAAAGGCGACTTGCTTCACCTTCTCGTCAGCATGTCAAGCTGAGGTCAGTTCAAAAAACCTCTTCCTTGAAGCGTGCATATTCACTGAGCCTTGGCACAAGAGGACAATGAAACATTACATTTATATACAGTAAATAGGTCTAAGTCTAAGTTGCACATTTGGTATCCTCAACACACCCGACTGCCGACAAGACACTGTCCTAGCAAGCCTCGGCCACACCTATAGGAAATGTATGCCACAAAGCGATCAAGGCACCTGCGTCTTGACATGGTCTTTGCAAACACTCATTCCGTCTTGATCTCTTAGCACTGACTATATCAGTGCTTGCTTAGTCTCTAGTGAGACCAGAACTCTTCAAACTCTGAGAAAGCATGAGAAAGCACCTTTCCTCTGCAGTGCGAAGGTGCTCTTTGCGCAGATAGGCGCGGAAAACGAAAAGCTGCTCCGAACACTGCCTCGTTGCCAAGCAGAAAACCTGTCTGCCTCATGCCTTGCCTAGCAGCCAACGTGGCCGGGGCATGGCCAAGAGATGTTGAGGTAAGCAAATAATTCCAAAATAGAGACATACAGCTGCAATGCAATAATGTCAATTTCGGAAAAAAAAACTATCAATGAAGCTTCGAAAAACGTGATTGTGCCAGAGGTGCTTGCCACATATGTCACAGGTCCACTTCGTGGTTCTTCCACCTCGTGCCACTGGAAGCATCTTAGTGGGATCTCCTCAGGTGCTGGCTCAATCTGAGATGCTCACTTGTCCAATCTCGACACAAGCGCCCGGCCAGAAAACCCCTGATGCTGGTTAGCCAAAGGAGGTGGTTGATGCAACTCCTACAAAGCCTAAGGCTATACGGCCCTACTACCTAAGGGCCTTAGGCTCCAACTTTCTTTATTGAGGGCGGAAATCAGGCAGCAAAAAAGTGCATAAATATGCCACAAAGGAAATGTCACAACGGGCAAACCCACATCCGAACCTTCCATTCTCTTAATTCTATCTGTCACCTCCAAGCACATACGTCGGGTGACGGGTCGTTGAAACACGCGGCCAAGCACGTTTGCTTCCGAACCGCTCGTCAACGGCCAAGTGAATTTTAAACTTCAAGCCGGAACCCTTGCTCGATCCTATCTGCACTCTGTAATGTGCGGGCTTCACAGTAATCTGTGGCATGCTGGAGCGCGTGTGGCACTGTGGCACTACAGTAATTTATCGGAGTGTTCTTTGGTTGATGCTTTCACCAAAACTCAGATTTTTGAACAAATCTCCAAACAAGTGGGATTCTTCTGGCCACCGTGGCCACAAGTACACCGAGCATTCTGAGCAAGTCACCAACACCGACAAATCACGCAAACAAAGTAAGGGCTTTTGCCGTGCTAAGTCTGCTAGGTTATGCGCAATGGAAATATCTATATATGTTCGCGATGCAATCACGGATAGCTTGACCAAGGAGCGTGTGAAGCGGCCACCATCTGTTTCTGCCACCCAGTTATACTTTGCTCGCGATACTTTGGCGATGGGCGATTGAGGGAAGGCCTTTCCTTTGAGACAGCAAGGGCTGGATTCAAATTGTGATCAATACTGCAAACAGAATACAAGTATATAAGAATGCAAGTATTCAAGTAGGTGTTTGAAGGCTCTTCCACTGCAACTCAAAAAAAAAGAAAAGCAAGTCAAAGAGACAAATGCTGTTAGGATTTGGAATCGAGCGTATCAGGACTTTTTAATGTTAACTTCTTAACGTTGTATTGCCAGTTCCCTTTGCTTGGACAGCATCTGGCAGCTCAAGCTGCCAGTAGGATTGGGAAGGCAGTTGAGAGACAGCTCAATCCTTCAAAAGGTAAAATGGTTTTAATAAAGGATGAGATGCGGATTTCATCACTTTGCGTCTCAAAAACTTCACCTTGTGCCAGCTCTTTGCCCTTTGCTACCAATCGAATGGGTGTCGGATCTTCTGCACCTCTCTGGTACCCAACCACTGCCTGTCACATTGCTATCAAATGGTGCACAGAAGCCTGAGAAACCTGCTAACAATTTAAACATATTTAAACAAAGAGATGAGAAAGAAGGTAAGGGCTCGTCTAGTCCCTTTGAAAGAGTGGCCCTTACCTTCTTCTTTTATCTCTTTTAAATCTGGTTGCTCTTGCTGCCAAACCTTGCACGGGAGTTAAGCTTCCCTAAAAATCTAGAAACCAAATCATTAGTGCAAGCGCTTCTTCAAGGAAGCTCCCAGCCCACAGGCAGGGGGGCTTCCTTGAAGAAGCGTAAGCTTTCCTGCGTCCAGCTAGTAGAAGCTAAGAAGGAGCGATCTTCTCTCTTCCTTAATTAAGTAAGCACCTACTGAATTAAGTAGGAGCGGGCCGCAGGCTAAAACGAAATGAATAGAATGTCTTACTCAACAACACCCGGGTCTTTGGCGCACCTCTTCGAGGCTCATAGTTGGTGCCTGTCTCCTTCGCTGACCTTCTTGATCGCACACCAAGCGCCGATCCACAACTGCCAGGGCAAGAGCGGGAGAAACATGCGGGGAAACCTGCACAACCGCGCTCAAAAGGTACAATAGGTCTACCAAGCTCAGCCCAAAAGGAAAAAACAAAAACAGCTGTGTCCTACAATGTACAAATCACGGCCGCGCCCCGAAGAACTTGAACCCCGCCAAAGCCGCCAAAGGTCGACGACAATATGACCACAAGAACAGGTTTGATTTAGAAATGATCTCAGATGCGAAACGCTCTTGCAGTACAAGAATCCCCCTACGGAGCAACCCCGCAATGTCCCAACATCCGACCTGGTGCTGGAGCGGACGCTGGCGCTGGCGCCGAACGGCGATTAGACGCCTCCCTGGTCGCACCTTCACGGTGCGAATGTGTCAACCACAGACAGTCAGCCATCAAGTGTGGGTTGCAGCTACGTTCGTAGCTTCTTGTTACTAGTAGTAATGGCCTCCAACCCAATAGCGATGGCCTCCACCCTAGTAGCTTCTTGCTACTAGCAGTCAGCCATCAAGAAACTTCAAATCTCAATGCACCCTGCCTTTTCGAGGCCGACTGGGTTCCAAAAGCTCCGCTAGGAACAAATCCTCCACAGCGCCAACCTTGCCTTTGCCAAGCCACATCAAGCAATTCTGAAGGGGTGCCGTACTTCAGCTAGTCACAGGCCTGGGCCTGGGCTGGCTGCTTTGCCTTGCTTTGGCTTTGGGTCATTGGCACCTGCAACAAAAGCTAACAAAAGCTGGGGAGGCCAATAATTACAGTAACGTTCCTGCCCAGTGCACCTGCAGCTGCAGATCGCTTCTGCACCATTGCTGCACCGCTCTACGGGAAAGAGCCTTCATCCATTTGGATGATGGAACGCTGTCATGAACATGCATTCCGCATAGTCTCACTCATTTGGTGAGCGTTTTTGGAATGCATTGGTGTGGTCATTGCGGAATGGCAGTTGTTGCTTATTCACCACTCAATGGTCGGAAAGGACCTATCAGAAGGGGATACGGGATACCTGACAGCCTGGCAGTTAGCATACATTCACTGTAAACACTGACTGTATCACTCTCAGCTAGTTTCTGATCGAATTGAAGTGAAGAAGTGTCTCCCAACTCACCTGGACTGCCACATGCAACTGCTTTCTTTTGATATTTTCATATGTCTACGGACGTGCCATTGGCTTTGGGCCGAACCACAGAAGCAGGCATAAAAAGACCTTTCGGAATCAATGGCTGTGGAAGCTGCACGTTGAGGAGGCTCTTCAGAAGTCTTTCCGGACAGTTCACCAAACCACCGGGTCAACTACAAAAACATTTTCTCATTTGGATGGTCGTGGCTACTGTGCAATGGACCTCTGGCGTGTGCAATCGGTGATGTTCCCGACATCACCGAACCAATTTCTGAGGCCAGTGCCCCTTCGTGATGGTGGACCAAGAGCGCTTCAGGAAATTCCTCGCCTGCAATAGTGCCATAGCATATTATCATCTGCATACATACATGTATAGTAGTATATCTATATATATTATATATATATATATTATGTGCACATGTCATATGTCTCTAAATGATGTGCTTGCGCGATGCATGCAAAAATGTGCAGGTACTGGACTTGGCGTGGCTAGCTTTTCTAGGTAAGGTCCAAAACTATTCGCCACCATGCTTGGCCTCTGCCTCAAGCTTGTTCTCAGAGACTGCGTCTGCCCTCAAGCTCTGGCCGAAGAAGTGCAGTTGCTGAACCCGTAAAAGCGTCAACTTATGTGCATGCCAAGCATTTCCTGCTACAGAGCCCAAGGGTATTTAAGCTAAGCAAGCTGCTTCTTCCTCGGAAAGCTGCTATGTACATGGGACATGGCAGATCCAAGTCCTCAGTCTCAAACTGGCGCCGTGCAGCAAGCAGTTCGCGGGCTTCAGCACCTCGAGTAGAATCAAAGGAATTGAGCCGACCACTCATGGGCGATGGAAGGCAATATACAATGTCTGAAAGAATGAACACATTGGCACAAAGGAGGAATTGAAAAGTGTGGTGCTTGTATGCACCTACCGCATCGTAGAGGTATAAGATCAAATATGGAAGGATTTGTTGGTTGGATAGGATATGTGTGCATATTTCTGGGTATTACAAACTTCATGTCTTGTCATCACCAACAACTGCTGATTGAGACATTCACGTAGTTCTGCGAAAGCATCGCTCTTCACAAGCTCAGACCTGCAAACTCAAAGGCCACAGAAAATGAGAAGCAGTTCCCTTCTCACCTTCATAAGTCTTCCCCCTTCATTGGTCAAAACTTAAAACGCCGAAGACCCGGGAGGCCTAAACGCAGGGTCGGTACGCCGCCAACACAAGTCGACCGTACTCATGCTGTCCTGAAGAAACACCTCCATTTGCATTCCACAAAGACGTATAATCTAATCAAAAGTTGTTTCATCCGCGAGCCCAAGAAAAAAGGTCCGAATATAAATAGAATTACTGTTTCATCCTGTGTCCGGGATCAAATCACGCAGTAAAACAACCAAAAAAGAATATATATATATATAACAACATGTTCTGTGTTCAACCCCTTCTGGCCCGCAGCCGCTGTGATCTGCAGGGCCGCATGAGAAGGGTAAATTTTGCATGGCATGTTTTGATGAGCGGGTGGGCTTGCTCTACTGTACAAGTTTTGAATGGGCATTTCAAGTTCTGGGGAGGCACGCGGCCTGAGTTTGTTTGAGGTAGTTCCATTGGCGGTTGTGGGGATGGCAGCTGCTCGCTTGGAAAAAATCAACATCTACAAAGGAGTGTTCGAAACACTTGCCTTAAGCTGCGGCCACTGATGTCATGGTTGTCGGCATCCTTGCGGGTCATCTTTGGCCCACGCACAAATGAGAGCATGGCTGCATCAAGTCACTCAGACATGTCGTAAGCGCAAAAATGTTTGGAGGACGCAGCTAGGGTGAAGCATTGTCGTTGGCACTCAATCCTCGCGCTTGTGCGCATGGACCGAAAATGGCAATGAGCTCAGGTCGTGTTCGCTCCACTTGGCTCATTGAACGTTGACTCTCCAGTCTTGAAGTTGTAGAAATAGATCTCCCCTTGGTTTTGACATGCTACCAGTGACTGCAGCATGAGAATGGCAAAACATGGCAGCAACCTGTTTGGTGTTTGTTTCTTGGTCTGTTGGCTTCGCCATGTCCATGTTAGAATCTGGATGAACCTAGTACAGTACAGCTCTACCCCAGCAGTTTCAGCAAATCCTGTAAAGTGCCTGTCCCGGATCCACAGTTGACAAAGCGGCCCGAAGTCTTGGATTTGATCCGAATCCAGTCTGGAGGCAATGGTTTCAGGTGACCGAAGAATCTATACTGTGCTTTGATCCTTGGAAGGAGCAGAGGCACTCGCGCTCCTGAAGAAAATGACGGCAAATTGTACTTTTGCAGCTTCGAAGCCACTCATCCTTCGATCTGGGCTCCTCTTGGGATGGCTCGACACTTGGAGTCTCAAGCTGTCGTTGTGCTGGCCGCTCTTCGGGTGGATCGCCCCACCGTTCCTCCTGGTAAAAGTGAAAAATTAAAAGAAACTGTAAAGTTTAAACTCTACCAATGTTTCGTGGAATCTTAAGATGCTCGAGCTGACACCTGCAAGTTTTGCAAAGAGCTTGGAAGAACATGGGGAAATGGTCTTTGTTGACATGGCGTGCCTCAGGCAAGCTTTCTTGGCCAGATATATGACCAAAATATGTCAGGGGTGCCCATACCCATCTATGCTCATATCGACCTGCCTGATCTGGTTTGCTTTCCTCTCTTTTCCGCTTTCGATCCTGCCACTTTCCTGCTCAGGGAACTGAGGATTCAGGTGATTCAGCCGGCCTATGAGGAGTGAACTACAGCACCACAATCCTTGGCCCCAATCGCTGCGGTTCCGCCAGTTAGAACCTGACCAAGTGGCACCTGAAAGCACCAAAAGAACCATGGCGGTATTGGTTCAGCAAGCTCATCGTTGGGAGACGCAGCATCATAAAGCACAAGTTTTCATTGCGCACACACAAACAAACCGCCGCCTTGGGCGCCTTGGCCCCAAGAATCCCCGTTGCTTGACCAATTCTGGCCTTGGCTCACAGAGGGTCATAATTTCGAACACTGACGTTGTTTTCCTGTTCACGTGTTCTTTATCCCCTTCCTGTGCACTGCACACCTCCCTCCCCCCATTGCCATCAGCTAACTCCAAGTTGAGTTACCCCAATCTGCGGCGCTCTTGCCGAATCTGTCCGGTGGCGTTCCCTTTTTCCCTGACAAAGATCAATCTCGGGATACGTTTCTGAGCGCCAGCAGAAGTCAGCTTCAGCTAAGAGCATTTGCGATGCCACCAGACTCGAGCAAAGAACCCAGCCTTCACCTTTGCCTGACCAGTGCGCTGTGGATTCGCCAATCCAACCCATCAGTTTGCCACATCTGCACAAGGAAAAGAAGCAGCAAGCACCGATGCGTGCCTTTACTTACTAGCCACCAGGCTTTTCCTTTGCCTAGCTCAACTTCTTCGTCTTCATCCTCCTCCTCCTCGTCCTCTTCCATGTTGCTCCTCTTTGTCTTTTTCTTTTCTTTGCCTGTGCCTTGGGACGAGCCGGGAAGGAGCCGTGAGACACTTCAGCAAGGGCAGTGTCACACAGTGTATCACATTTCTGAATGCCGGTCTGGAACTGGTCAGCAGTTCTACTACGTCTTCCTCCTGTTCTTCTTCCACCAACTCCTCTTCTTCTCCCTCCTCCACCTCAACCTAGTCTTCTGTGTATGCGGATTCCGCCAAAGGATTGGAACACAAAGCATTGTGCTGAAAATGGAGCAAGTCATAACAAAACAGCTGTGAGGAGTCGCTTTGGGACAGCGCCAATAGGCAACCTCTATGTTTCTATCTGCTGAACTGGCAGCGCTGTAGAGTGAGTGGTGGCGAGGTGGCGTGATGCTTGAGGGAAACTGTCAGATGGTGGGTTCAGACATTGTGGGAACAAACACGGCGCCTCTAGTGCACGGTAATCAGCGCAAGCGGATTCGGAGGATTCCTTTGCTCATTCTGACTTCCAGATATGGGTGCATTGGAGACCGTTTTTCTGCTGAACAGCTCAGCGCTCAACAATGACCCGGGGAGAAACAAAAGCCTTTGGCACTGCGTGGGCGTGGTCAAACTCTGAATCAGACTGACCACAAAGAAGGAACAGGTGCAAGTTGTAAGGCTGGCTTTGGCGACACGCGAACTCAGGGCTACTACAGCGCAAGAGTGGCCCAGCCTTGTTAAGTTAGCCATTTGTGCTCGTAAACTGAAGGTTTTACAGCAGCATTCTGCCCACTACAGCCTTTGACTTGGGAGAAACCCCCCACTCAGAAGGCAGGCAGACCTGACAGAAACTGCAACTGTCAGTGGGTCTGTCTCGGTGTGTCGGGCAGCAGGCAGGAACGAGAGTCTGCCACCAACGAAGACACGCTTTCCTGGTGCTACCGGGACTGATCATCCCAGCGTACCTGCCGTGATCACCTTTCAATTCCTTCTGGGCCCCTTTTCTAACTAGAACACCTTCGCCAGCCACCGCATCGGTTCGCCATCCCGCAGATGTGAGCGCAGTGGCAGTTACAAACCCTTTGTTGAACCATTCTTTTGCGCTGACTGATCACCATGCCGTTCTGCAGTAAACCACTGAAATTCATGTTCCTTCACCGGAACTTTGAGTCTAAGTGTGCGTGTGCGTGTTTGCCTTCAGCCTTGGGCACACTGAAGGTCCAACGTTCCCGTACAGAAGCGAATGACAAGCAAATAGCTAAATGGACGTACCAAAGCAATCAAGAGCGAGTGAACATGAAAGCAGAAAGAAAAAAATGAAAAAATTGAAAAGCAAAGACAGCAAGAAGGCCAGAGAAAAACTAGATACAACAAGTGAGGAAAAGAAGGGAAGTGCAGGCAAGAAGCTCAAAAAGGAATGGAAACGATCAATGGGAGGGATGAAGAGACAAATCTAATCAATATCATCCAAAGGCTCCTTGGGGTGGTACCTGGGGGTTGGTGGGAGCTGGGTGCGCGAGCAAAGCAAAGTACAGTCAGAACCCCCCAGTGCAAAATTCCGCTGCTGTCGGGCTACCAAGTATATAGTAAACCGGCGCAATAATCAAAAAGAGAGAACCCAACCACACACCATCACTCGCCTCGACCTCTTCTTCATCTTCAACTGCTGGCTCCTGCACTGCAAGATTGGGCCTTCCTGCAGGACAGCATCAATGGCATGCAAAACTCAAATATGCACTGGGTCGGGCTCAAGAAGATGTGAATCCCACGAGCTATTTTTACCACAACCGTCTATTACAGTGAGACTCCCAGGCCTTTCCCTTCCGGCGTGCATTCGCCTGCACTGTGGAGTTTTCTGAATTACGAATCGATACAGCCTGGGAAAGGACATGTGATGACCTGAAGGCTGCTCGGTCAGCTTTGGAGAGTCTGCATTGAGCTGCTCGTGCTTGCCATGCTGCTCCTCAGTGAGCTGTTTGTTGTAGTGAGCCCAAGCTTGCTTTTCACCTTTTGAGTGCTGTATTGAAATTTTAGGACAATTCATGCCGCACACCTCCTTGATCAAACTGTGTACATCGTCTGACCTTGGCTGCCAGTCTTGGCATGCAGCCCGCAAGCCTATTGACAAACTAGTTGCAAGATAAGGGATCTTGCCATCCAAGCAGCCTTCGCACTGTTTTGGAAACTGCATCTTGGATGGTCGGGAGGCCTCCGCTCGAAAGCCCCAGGGTCCCCACAGTTGTGTCTGTCAGTTACACCAGCATCAACCCCAAACATCCCCAAACAACATCTATTCAATTCAGTTGGTTTGCTTTCAACAGCCATGGCATACACAAACACAAAACAAAACGTTATCTTGTCACAAAAAAAGCATTGATACTGGGCAGAGTTTGGGATGTAGTAGGAGGGTGGTTTGAGCGTTGCCAATTTGCTTGTGTCCTCGTCAAGCTATTCCAAACGCCGGGCCTCAGTTTAATTTTCCTTTTGGTGAGGTTGGGATGTAGTTGTGGTTGTTTGGGGTGGCTATGATTCTGTAATTCTGTGTGTGTCAAACTCATCGCTCTTGGTCCATCACAACAGCAGCATAAATTTAGGTAAAATATTCTATTTATTCTTTTCCACAACATTTCCTTTTTTTGAGTGACTAATGTGGAGTGTCCCTGTCAAAAAAGATCGTGGCTGGCAAGTGCACGGATTGGCAAATAATCTAAACCTGTATCAGAAGAGTTTGCCTGGTAGTGGAGACTTTTCAGTAGCCTTTGTTTTCGAAGTCCTTGAGCTTACAAACGCGTGCAAAGTACCGGCAACAAATGTTGAAGGGCATGCGTGTCGTTATAGTTGTTTGTCAAGGATCAAATTTGCCGCTTGTTTTCTGCATCCCAACAGCCCTTCTTGCGAAGAGTGGAAATGGCAAGTAGAATGATATTGGATTCACGTAGAGCTCTCTGGCGTAGGTTTCGTGGTGTCAACTTTGTCCGCAAACCTTCACAACCACTGCTACTGAGTGAAGCTGATTGCCTTTGAAGACAGGCTGCAGCAGGGCAAAGGCTGCGCCGCGCATGCTCAGGAGGCCCTGGGCACAATAAACATCATCTCCAGCTTCTAATCAATATATAATCCACTCTCTGCAGGGCCTTGCATTCCTCGCCTACAGGATCCAAGGGTGATGTTGCCTCGCGTTGAACACGGTGGTATTGCAGCACAACCTGATATCAACATCTTGACCCCCAATGGCATGCAACTTGGCCAAGCTTTGGTGGTCCAACTTCTTGAACTTTGGCAGCCTCATCAGCCCCATCCACATTGTCCATAGCAGATGGTTCCCGGCACCATGGGAACCGCTCACCACACAGTAGGACGCCCTGTGAAAAGTGGTAAACGAGCTTGGAATCTGGAGAACGTTAGCTATATTGATATATATGTATTTTTGTTGGCATTGTATTTTTTATAGTCTCTTATATTTCATGTATATATAAATATGTGTGTGTGCTTCTGTGCCCAGAGTCGCCAGCAGACTTTATGGTTGAAAGCAGTCGAGACTTGAACAACTTCTTGTGTAAAGATCTGACTGAGTCTCGATGCGACACTGCCCAGACTGGCCATGTGACTGATCAGACAAGAAAAGCTAAAAGCTGCTGTTTGATCAATCAATGCTGTCCAATTCTGTTCATTGCCGTCGCTCGTTGACAACTTACAGCGGACAACGGTTGCTCCATCAAGAAACGTCCTGAGCTTGGTAGAACGCTTCCAAAGCCGCTGCCGCCAGCACTGGGGACATCACCTGGAATTGCTTCACGCAACAGAACTGCAAATTCAAAAGCCGTTTCACACCCCAAAGGAGCTGTCTTAAAGCTGGGCTTGACCTGTGCAGAGGTAGGTCTCCACGCATTCCTTTCAATGCAGCGCATTTGAAAGCTAGAGCATGGAATGGAAGCAAGAGGCCTCCCGTGCAGCTGCTGAATGGCATCAAGTGCCTGTGGCGCTGATCGCTGAAAGTCCCAGGAGGGCCATATATGACTGACTGTCCAAACTCATCGAGACACCTGCTGCTGTGCGGTGGACGCTCGGGAAGAGCTATGCCTTAAGCTCGTCATCGGTGGGCCGCACGCATGCTACTTTAGCACCACGCATGTTTGGCACAAAAACCGTTGCGTGCCTGCAAGTGTCAAAAACTAGTGGTGCATAATCCATTCATGAGAAAATGCCAGGTCAAAACCATTTGGCAGCAAATCCAGGGTGCCAGTGCTCTGACCCATCTGGTGCTGCACGTGGCTTTGCAGGGACCTGGCAGGGGCAAGTGGTCAGGGTTTGAAAACGACGACACAAAAGCCGTGGACACCCCGAGACAGAGAAAGGATCATGGAGTTGCTGATGAAAACTGAGAGGCTTTGGCGGCTTTGGCGTCATGAAATCCGCCCAATCTAAACATAACAGCTGCCTAGTTCTACCACACTTTGCCACTCGCTTGGTAGCCCACTTCTTGGTCGGAGTAGTCAACTGGATCTTCCTGCGCCAAGACCTGCATGCACTGCAATGGAAGAAAACGCACGAATCACATTGTTGTGAGTTGGCCCATCCTCTGCGTTGTGGGTGCTGGGAGTAAACATGCTTGGTGAGTGGAACAAGCTTGACACATTTTGAATCTGCACATCCAGTGAAGAGTCATAGTTCGGGTACTTTAACCGAACCTTTCAAATGAACACCGGCCAACCAACTGGCGAAACAGTCAGGCTCGCCCCGCAAGGACAAGATCTTGTCCGACTGACTAAATCCATCCTGTCATCTCCGACTAAAATATCAGCTTTCTAGTTTCCTGAATTTCTCGATCATTCTCTTCCAAGTGCTCTCATCTTCGATGTTCTCGCAAAAACCTTCCACGTTGCTACCGTTGGCCGTTGGCTCGCCATGCACTTGCCATGCACTTTACCATGAGCGGCACTGCAGCTGCACCTCGGTTGCTGTGCCTTTTCGTCTTTAATGCAGCCTCGAATGCGGATCTGGCGTACATTTAGCGCCGCTTCTGCTAGTGAACTGCTGGTCTGCTGACCCTCCTCTTCTTTCTCTTGCTCTCTCGTTTGGTCTTCCTCTTCTTGGAGCTGCTGCTGCCACACTCTTTCACACCAAGAAAGCCTCACGTCTGGATCGGAAACTTTCAAAAGCATTTCCACGTTACCACATTTGCAAAAAATAAAGTTTTCCAATTTCTGACCCCTACAGTCCTCGAACAGGAGGTTGCATTCAAAGGCGTCCGAAGTGGCACCAGTCGATGCAATTCAATCTCCGCTCGCAACGTCTGTGGCATCTATATAGTTTGCAGCGTGGCCTTTCCTTGAGCCACTTGACTGGGACTGCTTCTGAGATCCAGTCTGATCAGCTTTGAAAAGCCAAGGCTGCGTAGTCCAAATTCAAGCTATGCATTTGAGTATGCTGTTCCAGTGTTTCCCCACATTGTAGCCAAACATGTCCAGGAACCTCGGCTGCACTGCACCACAATCCAGTTTGGATGACTCAGGCCCCGCCTGGCTTCACAAGCAAAAACAAGAAAGCTATGACGGGCGAGGCGCTTGGAGTCACAGCGATACTTCTCTGAATGCATGCCTGAGCATCGGATCAGCTCCAGCAAGAACAGTATACTCAGTAAACCCAACAACGAGTTCCTTGCCTCCTTGCATGCCATTGCTCCTCTCTTTGGAGTGATGTCTGATGATGATGATGATGATGAGGTTTACATGATTTCCTGCCCCTGGCTAATAGTTGCTCCCACAAAGTTGTTGGAAAGGCACAATATCGCTGGAGGATCTCCTTCTTCTTCCGCAATTGATGAATTGCTTCCGCCGTTTGGCTCTGTTTCGCTGCTTGGCCATCCTGAAGGTCAAAAATCAGGACCCGCTTCATGAAAAGACAAAAAGCCGTCAGAGGACCGTGTTTCTCTCAAACGTTGAATGATTGAAACAGCAGCTCTGGGACTCTGGGAGGTGGTGCTTCTTCAGTGCCGTCGTTGCACTGGGCAAACCAGTCTTGCATTTGCGTGCTAGTATCTTCCACCTGAGTGTGTAGCAGTGATGATCAAAGGCCAGCCAGTTCACAACTCCATCTCTCCAGATTGATCGGAGTAGCCACCAGGTAATCCCCGGGTTGGAGTAGCACGTTCAAGCGTTCCATTACCATATCAAAATGATGATGTGCATCTTCAGATACCAACCTTGGTGGGACATGTCACTTCTTCTCCAGCTTGCAGATTTGCTAAAATCCACATAAGTTAGCTCACAAGCCAGCACCGGTGTCCAATTTGAATCCAAACAAGCGACCAAGGGTGAGGAAGTCGGGCTGCAAACTCATCGGTAAAAAGATCCTCCATGTGACTGGAAAGATTTATATATGTGCTACGCAACCTAATTAGTCTTCCTCCGCAAACCTAGAGTTTGAGCCGTGTCCAGCTTTCAGGGATCCAAGATTCAAAGGTGCAGATTCAACTTCGTGCTGTTGGGCTTGGGAACTCCCGCACCCCACCACCAAATAACCGTGGGGAAGAGCAGAAACAAGAACAGTGGTCCTTGAAGCACTCCGTGCTGCACTCCTGAGCGGGCCAACTGTCAAACATGCTCTTAAACGGCGCAACTCTATATACAAAAGTCAATCAAGTGCCTCTGTATTTTAGCACTGGAGGCAAGGAACGTGAAATTGGATCTTTGGATGCTGCCGGGCTCTGTGTCCTTGTTTGCTTCATTCAGGTACATGCAGAGATCTGACAACCCAAAATGATCAAGACCAGTTGCTGACACTTCGGAGCGTAATGTCCAAACTCACCTCACTATGCAAAAGCTCCATGACACTATCAAACAACACTAAAAGTACCCCCCTGAACTTTCGTGCACGGTTTCGTCTGCATGTTTGAGGTTCAGCTGGGCCCGTCTGCCCCAGCCTGTGTAATTCAATGCAGCCATGTTTTGAAAGCAAACTCAACATTAACAAGAATAAACTAAATCAACACACGAAAATCAAGAGGAGAACTATAATAACTATAAACTATAAACCGCGTATAACCGCGTGGTTTCTTTGGGAGGGGAGGAAGTTGGCCAGTATTGGGTTTCCAACTGGGACGTGAGGTTGCACATGAGATGACAATGACTAAACGATAGACCGGAGTGCTGTTTGACAAAGACAGGGGACCACCATGAACTTGAAAGAGTTCAGCCGCAGGTCACGGTAGTCCCCGAATAGAGGTTGGCAGGAGGAGGGGGAGAAGGGAAAGAAGACCGCCCATAAGCCTCGGTAAGTCTAAGTTCTTCGGGCCAGTCTGGTCGAGGGCGGCCAGGTCTGCAAGGGGTGAAGCAACAAAGATATTCAAGAGAGGGTTGATGGCGGAGGGCATGACCAATGAGCTGTATGTAACCTGTGGGTTGGGTGCCAGCTGAGAAGGCGTGAAAACATAATGGTCATGGGAGTTATATTATATTAATATACATATATACAAAGAGCACGGAGCTGCAGGTACTCATTTGAGCAAGAATCAAGGACCCCTGGAGAGTTCGATGATAATAAGAGGACTTGACACTAAAGATTTCAGGGGTGCGGAAAGGCAAAGTATCCAAAAGTACAAGTTCTGTTGGGGTGGGGGCAAAGCTTTCAATAGTCAAGAGAAAAAGAGATTGAACAACCGACTGGTAAACCAGTAGCCAGTAGGAGGTTGGGCTTGCAAAGGCAGCCTTAGAAAGGCGGCGTTTAACATGAGCGGAGGAAGAGCCAGCATCATTCAGCTGAGCGAGTACAGTATCGAGCTGAGCGTTCCTGGGCAACAAAATCAGGAAGGAAAATCGGATACGAAACAATGATGACAAGGACAGGAGGGAGCTGAAACAGGAAACAAAGAGATTCGTTCTTGAGAATGCAGGGCGATGTGTTCGCATTTGTCAAGGTTGAGCTCAAGACCAAAGTCCATTGCAAGGGTTTGCAATGAATGAAGGAGACGAGTAGCTGAGTAGCAGCAAGGGATGAGTGAGGCATAGCACAGTGTCATCAGCATCCAGCAGGTCTCACAAAGAGAGAGGACGATTTAAGACACCGGCGATTTGCGAGACATGTGGTTTGTAATTCGACGTGGTCAAAGAGCACAAACGTGTCAAGAATGAAAAAATACAGGGAGAGGGGATCAGCCCTGCTGCCACCCGCCGAGTTGGCAAGAAGTTTGGCAAAAATAACCATCGTCGCGAAGTTCAAAGGCTGGAGATGAGTAGAGAGAAATGATAGCGTTAGCGAGCGAGGGATTCTGGAACATTGAGCCAAGAAAGAAGTCAAAAGCTTTGGACCAATCAAGGAAACTGAGGAGATGTGGGAGATGGTGAACTCATGGGCTTGCAGGAGTTGCCTGATGATGTGGATAGGTTGGGACACGGATCGCCCGGCGCGAAAGCCAAATTGGGTAGGGCCAAGAAACTGTTCCGCAACAAGCTGGAGGCGGGAACGGAGAATCGAAGAATAAAGTCTATAGTCGTCATCCGAAAACAAAGGCACCAAACGTCAGATTCAAGGAGAGGTTTGCCACAGTTGTGCCAAACTTTGTGATGCAAATACTGGTCGAAGGATTGTGTTTGGGCTGGAGTCGGGATATCCTTAAAGTGACGACGAAGGCGCTGGAGGGTGCACCATTGTTGAGCAGGGTGAGAGCGAGACTGAGAATGGGTAAGGAGAGAGAAAGCAGCATGGCGCTTTTTAAATATCTATCTATCACGTGTGAGGATTTTTTTGACGTGCTTTGATTCCACTCCAAAATTCGGCTTTTGTGTCAGGCGTGTTGAGAGTGGTAAGGCGCTGCCAGCGTCCCCAAGTAGTGGAAGAAATACAGGTCTGTCGTCCCAAGGTGGCTGCAAAACTTGGGGTTGAAAGTCCAAAAAATGTTGCTGTACGGTGTCTAAGGGCCACTGTTTGAAACTTCTCCCCCACGAGCATCTCTGCAAAATCGGCGAAGAAGAGCCTTAATTTGCAAACAAAAAAACTTTTGGAGTAACACTCTCAGTGCTCTTGCTTTCAAGAAGCGCACTTCCACCAGCCCAGGAGCCAATATCAACAATAGTCCGCGGCTTCACCTCCTCGATCCTACAGCATCAAATCACACTGATAATAGTCTGGTGAGCTATGCTGTGCACCAAGCGTATCCAACATCAGTATACCGTATACCTTAATGGGGCCATGCAGCATCCAAGTGCAACTCAGACTCAAACTTGCATACATCTGCCAATCAAACGCGCTCTTTCCTTGTGCACAACGGAATTCACCGCAAATACTCCAGAACGACAACAAGAGTCCAAATGTCAAAACACAAGCCAAGAGTCCAAAAGGAACTGTTTTCCAAGTACTCCGTGCCTGTAGCACAAACGTGTCAAAGGCCAACCCCTGTTCCAACCTTGAGGTACACTCCTGTCTTGGTTTAACCTATCAAACAACATCAGCATGTGCTCTACCATTGCGAACGGGAGCTGAAAGGAGTTGAGTCGGACGGTCTTTGGGGGGCCCCTAGTGCAAGACACGCCCATCGTCCATCTTGGTGCCCAAACCCCAAGCCTGCCCAATATAGAGTGCCTCCATTGTGTCAAGGGTCATGTCGGTGTCTTCCTTGGCTCAGAAACTAGTCCCTAATGCCTTTTAGCAAGTTGGTCCACATAACTGCAACATACATTCCCGAAAATGTGTCCTCACGGTCGGACATCTTGAGGAAACGCTCCTGAAACTTGTTCAAGCCCGTTGACGCTGCAGCGAAGGCTTATATAAGAAACACAACTCTGCTTGTGTTCACCTTTCCAGCTGTGCACAAAATTCTTGCCTCCTGCTTGCCTTGGACTGCTGCTTCTACCCTTGCAGCTATGTCCTGCTCAACACTCCAGTCTTTCAACAAATGTCAAACTCACCAGACCCTGGTTGACCACTTCAACATGAACAAAATGGACTGCTGGCCCTTGACCTTTTTTTCCCTGTGTACATGCTTCTCCGTGATAATTTGTGCAGCTCCTCGTGGCGAGCCTCATTGGCTTCTTCTGATCGAAGGCGCTTGCGCTCCATCAGCAACCGTCACAGCATTGCCAAGTGCCCTTCAACTAATTGGCCAAAAGCAGCGCTGACCAAGCTTGGTTCAAAAAGGCTTGGTTTCAATGCGCACCCACACTAAGTCACTAAGTGACAAGCCCACAACACCAATTTTAGCAGCAATTTGACCAAACAAGTATGCTGAAGGTTGAAGGGAGAGAGAGCTGGCGCCTTCGAGATATCACTCAAGGCTCGGCCGCCACCTCTTCGCAGAAGCTTCCTCAACCTGAGCACACGACCATGTCCAAAACTCACACATAGGGTAATCAAAACTATTCTTACTCAACATATTAGATAAGTTTGTTAATTATAAAGAAAGTTTGACGCCCCGAAGGTGTGTTCTGCATGTATGATGAAATCTCAAGTAATTTGCTCCTGTGTATATAAATGTAAGCGGGCCTCCTTGACTTTCCTCCTCGCATACAGGTCCAGCTCCAGTGCGCCAGCCTAAGACACTTGGCTGACTTGAAGTTGTTGACTCGAAGTGATGCGAAGCGAAGCAGAAGCAGCTTCTCGCCTTGTCACCACCACGCACGGGCAGCCAATCAGCCTTTGCAAGTTCTCAACATGTGTTGCTGAACGAAAGAGTTCTCAAGGGTTTGCGCGGACCAACAAATTGACACTTATCAAGAAATATCCTGCCTTTTGCGAACCAACCCCTTTGGCCCCTGGCAAATTTTGCCGATGATGCTCTTTCCATGAAGGACTTCGAAACAACTCTGCATGGTTTTGCCTGACCTTGGCGAAGGGCATCGAAGACAAGCAAAAGACCCCGATTTCCAGTGTGTGGCCTGAGTTTCTAGCCTGTAGTTTGCAAAGCTGTGGAAACTCCATCATCAAACAGTGGCTTGGCACATGTTTTTCGAAGAAGTCATGAATCACATCGAATTTATATAGCCAATTTAGCTTTCGTGTCACAAGGATTCGACGCAATGAGGGGCAAGCATGGACGCTATTGCAATGAGTGCACTGTGGGCATGCGCATGAATGAGCAGTCTGTGGGCCTGTGGGTGGCATTCTTTCATGTGGGATGTTCCCAGTGGAAGGATCTCCCGACTGAGCCCTACTGACCCTCCTTGCTGTCCTGGCGCAGCCACAAGTTAACACGAACAACTTGAGCAGCAAACTACAACATGGCAGCAAAAAAATGCAATGTCTAAGCACTTCAATCACCAAAACACAAACATGCCCGTGCGTACAGCTTATTGAATGAGTTTGAACGCGATCATTCAACCTTCCCAGAAACAGAACTGTCGGAAGCTGAAAGTTTCATTTGCTGAAACTGGGAACTTTAACTAGAGACAAACCATAGGGCATAAATGCGTTGAAGAAAACCTACATCTACCTACGACCTTGGTGAGAAGAGTAGGTTGTGCATGTATTTTGATTGTCTTTGCCCGTCTGCTCCGCCGCATGGCCCATTTTGTGAAAACCAGCAATCGGAGGGCATGAAACCTGTGAAGTGTTTGGCGGTCAAATGTGTAAAGAACTCTGGTTATAACAGCCATCAAATGTTTGAGCAAGTGCTGATGGCCGGTATGCCATACAGCCTTCATCTTCGGCACCATCTTCCGCAGCGGGATCGCAGCAGAATGTGATGGGCATGACTTCATGATGTTCAAAGCGCAAGCTTGAGGCCACTGTTCCAAGCTGTAGCATGTGCTGGGTGTCACTCGTCTGCCTTGACCCACCGGACATCTAACCTTGGGATGCAACAGCCGGAGCTGGCACAAAGGTGGAACGGCAACCGGTCCAGTAGGACCGACGCGGTCTGTGACTTGTTGTGCTTGGAAAACATCACATAAATGGTCGAGAGGCTCACAACCTGATTCAATGACCATGCCTTGTTCTGGGCACACTCCAAACGATCCACACGCAGTATCAAAGCAACTTGTGACTAGTGACCAGTGAACTTGCTACCAGTTGCGGAACTAAATGGAAAGTTCCCTCAACACTGCACTCTTGGCATGCCAAGAAGCTTGCAACTGGGCAGCGTTTTTTCACGGCTTCTGAAATGGCACGGATTTGACTCGCGTTCGCATCACTGTAGACCTTGCTCTTCAGAAACCGCATTTTGGGGCCAAACTGACAGACTCTGAGTGATTGATCACAAATTCGGACTAGACACATGTGCGGTGCCCCAAATCCTGCGCTCACAACTCTTCAGCAAAAACATCGGTGCAACTTTCTTCCTACTAGAAGCGATGCCAGGAGCCCCTAGTAGCTTCTTGCTACTAGTAGCGATGCCACAACCAGGTTTTGAAACTCTTAGAGTGGACCGTGTGACTTTACAGCACTTCTCATGCAGTTTTGGAAATCGCAGCCTCTGCAATCTGCTTGGCTGTAGTGGGTGTTGGTCAATGGGGCCGGCTAAGCTTCCCCATTCATCGCGTTCGGCATGAAGTTCAAACCTGGTTGGGCGGGTCGTCTTGTTTATATATACAAATTTGTGCATCACAGGGTTAGTCATTAGTCCTGGCCGTTTTAGCGGCCACCACACTGGAATCCAAGTTGCGTCATCAACACCAAGAAACTGAATGCGCCGGATCGGAGGCACCCGCATCTTCATAGCAACAAATTTGGCTGTAGCTTGTTCACAACCGACCAAAGCTGCCAACAAAAGCTGCACCTTGGTTTCCGCAAAGCTCCAATGTGCAGGTGCACCGACCTACGGACATAAAGCAAACAAGTAAGCTAAGCGAAGCTAAGGTAAGCACTGGCTGTGGGGCTGTGCCGGAGCCTTGCACTATCTCCACCGCAACATCCTTGCTCTACTGGCTGCAACATCACTTCCATGAGCCGCACCTCCTGTAGATTTTGGAGTGTCTGATTCAATGCTGTAGCCGTCATCTGTCAGGGTCACTGTTTTGCATCCAGCCCCTTCCGCTGTGAGATTGTAGCCTTGCGTCTCAGCACTGCGCGAAAGTACTGTGTGGACGAATGCGCCCAAACAAGTGCCCACACATGCCACCATCTCACTCAGGACAGAACGTTTCCAACGCGGCCGTTGCACAAATGAGGATGATGACCGGAGGAGAAAACCAATTGCCCCTCGGTTGCCGGTCAACACAAAAATGCACAATGTGAAGAAGAAATGTGTTTCATGCTCGCTGCAAAGTACCTCTCGGAAGCCACGCGTGGACGAAAAACGGTGGCAAATGTGTAGTTGTTCATTCTTGGTCTTGTTGTCATGTCCAAAAGAACCTTTGATGTAAACATGTTTGCAAAGCCCTGTGCCATACAAACCTGTCGGCCTGGTTTTGTTGTCTGTCTGGCTTGTGTTCATCTCTTCGTCGTGCATGCCAGTTTGAACACGATTGGTCCGCAAGCGCAGGCCATTCAATCGGCCAAACACGGGCCCTGCCGCGCCCACATGACAACACATTGCGATGCAAAATGTTATTTTATTCCAGTGGGAACAGGCACGGACCAAGCAAACAGTTGGTGTCAAATATAATATAGGAGTTGCGTGGGACAAATGAGAATGAAATCCGGTTGCAAGGCTGGAGTAAAAAACACGGGCAAGGCAGGGCGCTGGCAATTGTCTTAAACAAATTGTAAACACAACAAGTTTTTTGTTTCAGGCCATAGTCTGTGCGAAAACAATCGTAAAAAGTATTTTCTCCTTGTAATGGGGGCATATGCTATGTGAGACCTATGCTTTTATCGCAGGCCCTTCAACGAATTCCGCAAACTTGAAGGGCCACCCAACTTGAAGCTGTTCGTTGACAATGCAACGTTGTGGGCGCATGGGCGGCGACGCTACAGCAATTCAAGAACATTCGCATTCGGGCACACGGGGGCGTGGACGGCTGCTTCGATTGGAATGGTCACGGCCACAACCCAGCATGGTGCATCACATGTGGACCAATCAGACTGTTACTTTCATGTTGTTTGCCTCTGTCTTTTTCTCTCGCGCGAGGCAAGTCGGTCTGGGGTTGGTCCGGTGTCGCACTCACAGCTTCTGCTGACCAAGCGCCGGGCCGCTTGGATTTTGGAAGGGCGGCTAAAAGTCTAGAGCCGAAGGGGCCATCTCAGGGTCAAAGAGGAAGGCGGGATGCTGGGGGTAGGGTGTCGAAAGGGGTTTCTGCCAGGATTTGGCTCAGAGGGGGAATGTTGCCACCGACATTGTTGTGGTGAGAAAGGTGAAGGTGGCTGCAAAAATTTGCATTGCTGCATGGTTCATCATTGCTGACCACCGTGACACCAGGGCTGTTTGGACCGATTTTTGTAGGATGGCTGGGGCGTGTCTGGCCCTGGAGTTGGCAAGGGGCCGGACGAAGTTGGCCGCTTCCTGGCCCCACCGGCCTCTTACTTCGATCGCCAAAACGACGAGCTTGCACTGTCGAGAGTTGAGCAATTCTGGGTAAATTCTCTCTTTGCTCTTTCTGGCTGGTTGCCCTTCCCGGGTTTGGGGAGAGCAAATGGATCAGGGTTGTTGCCACTGTAAAGCCGTGTTCCGAACCAAATTGGGCCGTCATGTCGGGGGGAACCGAAGTTGGTAGTTTTTTTTCCCCAAACTTTTCTCGCGCTGACAGTCGGGGAGCGAGAAGCCACGACGCAAGAGCACGGCAAGTCCAAGTGCCTTAGGCTGGGGAATGCCAAGAGAGACGACTGGGATGTGGGGCGGGAGCAACCCCCGTGAGGGTGTCACTGAGCAAGGGGCAAGGGCCATCAACATTTGTGGAAGATGAACCCGGAAGGTGAAGTAGGCTGCACGCAAATGATCTCATGGCAGCTGCTGCCGGTAGGGCTGCCCATCGTGAAGTCCATGCGTGTTGGGCTGCCTTGCGGAGCAAAGGGTTGGTATCTCTGGCTCGGTGCTGGGCCAACATTCTGATGAAGGTGGCAGCTTCTTCGCTCCAACACCCGCCCAATTCCATCGCAAACACAACAAGGCGTGCTCTTCCTCCCTGTGTCAACTCTGGGTATGTTCTGGCTTTGCTTCTGCGGGCAATCCGGAGGGCTGCTCCGGCAGTGGCACTGTTGGATCGGCGAACCTGGGAGGAAGCTGTGAGAGGGGACACCAGGGTCGTGTCCACAGCGAGTTGTGCTCCGTGCCAAAATGGCAAAGCGTTCGCGATCACCTCAATTCGGCGTTCGTCAGTTCGGCGCGTAGTCGTGTTGAGGTCCCTCGCGAGGACGTTGGTGCTCACTGCTGCACCGGCTTCCCTGCACACTCTTGCCATTGCTTTTTCCAAGGCCATCCGTCGCGTGCGAAGGGCACCGGAATGGGGGCAAGCGGCTCTGTGGTCCCCAAGCTGGTCATGTGGGCGATGGCACCGGCACCTTGCTGTTGTGTGCGGCAATGGCAGACGGAGACGCCGGAGAAGCAACACCCGGAAATGAGCTGGTTCGAAGGTCAGCTCAGGGGATGTGGGCAGGAGTGTGAACGTTCGAGAGGCATGGGGGCCACGTTGTGATTCCAGGAGGGCTTGGCCTGCAGGGTCGGCTGATGCTTCGACGAAGTTGGCGTATGCTTGGTCGATCACCTTTGAAGCTGCTTGTTGCCATCTTCGGAGTTGCTGTGGCAATTCTGCTTGTGTGGGTGGGCCAGGTGGGGCGCACTCTGCCCAGGCCGGTGCTTCGAGGCCGAGGTTGCGCAGAAACTCCTGCACGTGTTGGAGGCATTGGATCGAGGGCGTTGCAGAGTCTACAGGAGTGGTCAATTGTTCCGTGATGTGTGTGAACAGGTTGGGTGACTTGCGCTGGATGATGGGGGCCACATCATGCCACGATGCCCAGTATGCTGCTGCTGTGTGGTGGTGGGCACTGCGGAGGCCGAGCCCTCCCTGGTCGAGGGCGAGGTGTGCTCTGTGGCTGGCGTGCTCGGGTAAGGCGCCGTGCTGGTGGTCGAGTAGCTGCGCTAAGCAGGCGAGGACCGCAGCGTCGTGTGCTGTGGCATAGGTGCCTGTGAGGTCGGGGCGGATGCCTCGCAAGGCGTAGTGTGCGCGGGGGGACGCACAGTACAGGAGGAGCAGCCAACTGGTCTGTAGGTCTGGGAGGGTGGTGAGTGCATTCAGCAGTGGCTGGTGTGCTGCTGTCATGTTGTTCAACTCTGTTTGCACGTAGGTGGGGGTGCCCAGCGGGAGGCCAAGGACTCTGAGACCGCGTTTGTTGCTAGGCAGTGCCGTGTCCCCGACCCAAACCGGGGTTGGGGGCATCCTGGCTGAGGCTGCGGATGTTGGCGGGTTCTTCCCCGGATGCGTTCCAAATTTGGGTTTTGCCATGGTGGAGTTGGATGTGAGTATGTTGGAGCAGATTGGCAGATGGGCGGAAAGGCTGTCGAACAGGGGCGGATGCGGGGTGGTGGTGCAGTGATGTAGATGTCGTCCAAAAAGGCCATGACGCGCTCTCCGGGAAGGAGGTCTGCTTGGAAAGCCCGCAGAGCGAAGTCCAAAGCCAAAGAGAACAGGGCTGGCATGAGGGGGTCGCCCTGTTCGCCGCCCTCGGCTTGGGTGATGGGATGGGCTTGGCCATGGTCGTCTGAGTCGTCTGTCCAGAGGTAGGTAGAAGGTTGGCTGTAGAACAAACGCGCGAACGGCAGTGCTGCTTGTGCATGTGGTGTGTTGGCACTGTTGGCCAATCCTCGGAGCATTGCAGTGCGGCTGACATGGTCGTATGCTCCGATGCCGTCGACCGATAGCACTGTTTGTAAGTGATCTGCTTCGGTGGTGAGTTGCAAAGTGTGGAACAGGGCCTCGGTCCCTGCCCGGGTCGAAAGTGCGTATTGGTGGGGGTGGCACGCCGCTTCGAAGTCTGTCGCGTAGTGCTGTGCCAAGCTGCGGGCCACCAGGCGGCGGAGGAAGTCACCCACGACGAGGCCACGGACTCCGCCGGAAGCTTTTCGGATAGCGACCATGCGGCCCAGGCCGATGGCTGCTGCTATTGTGGCTGGGATGTCTGCTGTGGCAAGGCGGTGGCACACTTGTTGGAAAGAGTGGCTGGCTGCGGCGTCGTCCAACAACAGTTTGGCAATTTCTGCTGTGAGGCCGCTTGGTCCAGGTGCTGCTCCTTTCTTAGCCCGGGCCAAGTTGGTGAGGAAGAGTTGGGCCGGGATGGCTGCCGGTGTGGCTGGGTTCCATTGCAACAGGTCTGTGTCTATGGCTTGGTATGCCTGTTGGGGTCTTGCTGTTGGATCTGTGAGGCGCTGGTGGGTGGCCTCATCTCCGGGCGCCAGGGGTTCGGCCAGCAGCGCCTGGCGTGCGCGGGATAGTTCCCCGAGGCGGGTTAAGTGGATTGCCCGTTGAGCTCTGGCGTCTTCGTTCGGGTTGGTTGGGTGCTGGTTGGTACGCCGTGCTTGGCGTTGATTTGCGCTGCTGTTGCCTGTGAAGAACTGTGTGAAGCGGTTGAGCAACTCTGGTTTGGGGACTCGCTGTGTGCCGGCGGGGCGGTGGAGCAGGAGGCGCGGTAAGAAAAGCCAAAGTTTCCACGCACGTTCCCGCATGTCATCCGTGCTGGCCGAATTGATCTGACCCAGTGCGAAGTGAAGAGCACGCCGAAGTGGCCCCCGTAAGAACGGTGGAGGTGTGCGGAACATGATGCAAGGCTCCGAAAGGAAAGCGGTGGCCGGAAGTGGGTCGAGACGGGCTAAGGCTTCCCGAAGCCGGCGGCCGTGGATCATGGGTTGTGTGGGGTGGTTGTGAGGCTCAGTGGCGGCGACTGTGCGGGGGGCATTCGCGGCCTCGGTGGTTTCGGTGGCTGGATGAGCTACCGCGGGGCCGCCATGTTCAGGGTCACTCGTTGCGGAGCTAGTGGAGGATGTGCTTGTGTCGTCATCAGAACGGGAACTGGGCGGGCTGGGGCTCAGGTCGGGTTCTGGGTTGGCTGCTTGTGCCCCGGTGCCTTCTGGCGGCGTTCGTTCGGGGAGTGTGTGCTGCAATGCCGGGCCTGCAGGTCGCGCATCTGCGTGCACCGCTGGTGTTGGTAAGTGGGGGGCCCGTGGTCGGTCAGTAGCTGTGTTCGCTGTGGGTGTTTGCCATTGTTCGGCGAGGGTGGCTGCAGCCGAAGCCTGCCGTTCTCCGAAGAATGCTTGCAAGAGTGCTTCTTGTGCCGTCGCCGGGATGTATCATCCTGGTTGTTGGGACAAAGTCACGGCCCATGGCAAGTGGATGAGTGCCCCTGGGGGTTGCTGTTCCCCAGCTGACCTGAGGGTATCGGGAAGGGTGCGTTCCCCGGGTGGCAGCATTTGTCCCGTGTCCTGGGCCACCTGCTGGAGAACCGTGAGGATGTGGTGCAGGTGTTGCCAAGGTATGGGCTGTGCGCGCTCTAGTTGTTCAACGAGCCGGTGCCACTGTGCGCCTGTATTCGGGTAGGAAAGCCATTGTTGCGCAGTGTCTGGATGCAGCCGGCCTGTTGCTGCGAGCAGGAGCGGCACGTAGAACCAACTGTGTGTTTGTGGTGGGTTGGTGTGAGGTGCCAGGGGCCCACGGTGTGCCCACAAGTTGTTGGTGGTCGTTGGTGTTTGTTGGGGAGGCTGTCCGGCCGGTGGTGCTTGGCCATGTGGTGCGGGTGGCTCTGGCGGTGCTGCGCCCGGGGCGGGGCCTGCTGCGGCGGTCGTCTGGGGAGGTGCCGGCTGTTGCTGTTGCAGTGCTGGAGCGGCCGG